GAAAATTCTCTGGGCGCTGCTCTGGTAGTGTAAAAAGTAGTGGTGGACCAAAATTAAATTTCTTAAACCGAAACTTCAGGAAAACCGAAACTAAAATGGGCAGGTGTGTGTTTTGTTTTTTTTTGTTTTTAATTTTTTTTTTTATATAGAATTGTTTTGTATTCGACTTTTTAACCGCTTCCCGTCTGCCCTAAAGCAGACGTAATGCTACGGGGTGGCACGGGTGCGCAAAATCATGTGTATATATACGTGATTTTGCAATTCGCGGCCTCGACGGTCAATGACCGGGTCCCGGCCGGTGATTACTCCTCCGGTGATCGCTGATTATCTCCGGGGGGAGGGAGAGGGAGAACTGTTTGCAAACTATTTTATTCTAATGAACTCTTTGTCTGGTTTAGGGTTGGGAAGCTCGTCTGATGATGGAGAGATCCGTGGCTGTGAAGTGCCCAGATATAGCGACCCAGCTTGTCGGCACCAAGAAGGTCCAGCAAGAACTGAGCCGCCCGCAGGTTTTGGAGAAGATTTTTCCTGACTTTCCAGAGGCCGTGGCCCGAATCCGGGAGACTTTTGCAGGCTTGTACTCCTTGGATATTGTACGTACGGGATGCTGAACTTTATTTACTTTTTTTATGCTAGAGCTCCCCTCCTTCCCTATATGATGTATATCCAACTGCACATACCTAATGCTAACCCTCAACCTAACCCATGACTTTTCATCTGCCACCGTCCCCTACCAGAAGCTGTGCACTGCGCATGCGTGGCCTTTCCCCCATGAATCCCAGTGGAGAAGCTTGCTTCTGGCACAGGTTGCCTTTTGATCTGAGGTGTGTGTGTAGAGGTTTTATTTGGCTGAAAAAATCACTTTGAAAATCACCCCTCCTAGCATTTCTGGCAGTGGCCATCTTGAGTAACGGCAGGTGGTTCACGTAGCATTTACTTCCTGGAATCCATCTGCCCTTATCTCAGGCTTGTAAGCAGGTGGGTGTGCTTAGCTGAGAAAATCCCTCCCGAAGACATCTGGGATGTATGACATCATTTGCCTAGGCATGGAAACCAGAAAGTAACTAAAAAAATAAAAATAAAATAAAAATGGTAAAACATGTAAATATAATCTACTTTGCTATCTATTTACTAATGCTCACAGCTTAGTGTTCCTAAACCCAGGACCCTGCATTCACTATATCTGGTCTCCCCGGACCCTGCATTCACTATATCCGCTCTCCCCGGACCCTGCATTTACTATATCTGGTCTCCCCGGACCCTGCATTCACTATATCTGGTCTCCCCGGACCCTGCATTCACTATATCTGGTCTCCCCGGACCCTGCATTCACTATATCTGGTCTCCCGGACCCTGCATTCACTATATCCGCTCTCCCCGGACCCTGCATTCACTATATCTGCTCTCCCCGGACCCTGCATTCACTATATCTGGTCTCCCCGGACCCTGCATTCACTATATCTGGTCTCCCCGGACCCTGCATTCACTATATCTGCTCTCCCCGGACCCTCTCACCCTCTCCCCGGACCCTGCATTCACTATATCTGCTCTCCCCGGACCCTGCATTCCCCTCTCCCCGGACCCTGCATTCACTATATCTGGTCTCCCCGGACCCTGCATTCACTATATCCGCTCTCCCCGGACCCTGCATTCACTATATCTGCTCTCCCCGGACCTGCATTCACTATATCTGCTCTCCCCGGACCCTGCATTCACTATATCTGCTCTCCCCGGACCCTGCATTCACTATATCTGCTCTCCCCGGACCCTGCATTCACTATATCCGGTCTCCCCGGACCCTGCATTCACTATATCTGGTCTCCTCGGACCCTGCATTCACTATATCCGCTCTCCCCGGACTCTGTATTCACTATATATGCTCTCTCCGAACCCTGAATTCGGGGCTCTCTCCCCGGAGCATTCACTATATCCAGTCTCCCCAGAATGCGGGGTCCGGGGAGAGCGGATATAGTGACTGCGGGGTCTGGGGAGAGCCTGATTTAGTGAATGCGGGGTCTGGGGAGACCTGATTTAGTGAATGCGGGGTCTGGGGAGACCGGATATAGTGAATGCGGGGTCCGGGGAGAGCGAATATAGTGAATGCAGGGTCCGGGGAGAGCGGATATAGTGAATGCGGGGTCCGGGGAGACCTGATATAGTGAATGCGGGGTCTGGGGAGACCGGATATAGTGAATGCGGGGTCTGGGGAGACCGGATATAGTGAATGCGGGGTCCGGGGAGAGCGGATATAGTGAATGCGGGGTCCGGGGAGAGCGGATATAGTGACTGCGGGGCTCGGGGAGAGCGGATATAGTGACTGCGGGGTCCGGGGAGAGCGAATATAGTGAATGCAGGGTCCGGGGAGAGCGGATATAGTGACTGCGGGGTCCGGGGAGAGCGGATATAGTGACTGCGGGGTCCGGGGAGAGCCGATATAGTGAATGCGGGGTCCGGGGAGACCAGATGTAGTGAATGCAGGGTCCGGGAGAGCCGGATATATACTGAATGCAGGGTCCCAGGAGACCGGATATAGTGAATGCGGGTCCGGGGAGAGAGGATATAGTGAATGCGGGGTTTAGTAACACTTTCATGTTTACAATTTTGTTTTCAATTTTCTTATGTCATTTTATCATTTTTATTATTTATGTATATTTTTTTTGCCAGGGTGAAGAAGGAGATCAGACTGTAAAAATTGCTCTTGCCAACCCAGAGCACTATGTGTTAAAACCACAAAGAGAAGGAGGAGGTGATGATGGGTGTTTTTTTTTTTTTTCTTCTTTTTTTTTTTTTTTCATCAGAATGGTTGAACAACAAGAAAACAGAAGATAAATATAATGTGGTAGTACCTGGATAAGGGCCTACATCCCTAAATTGTTAGATTGTGATTATATGGAGAAATCCTCCAATAGAATGGGACTTTAACGGCACCAGGTGTTTCTGATTGGGTCACCATTACATGAAATGAATTCCATAATTGTACAACAGTTTGTACTTTATCTCATCCTCATGTCAATAATTTGCATAATTGTAGTAAATCCAACGCGTTTCTGTCAGTTAACGCCTTCCTCACGGAAAAGGAACTCTTTTTCTGTAGGGTTCCTTTTTCTGTAGAGTTCCTTTTCCCTGAGGAAGGCGTTAACTGACAGAAACGCGTTGGATTTACTACAACAACTCTGCAAATTATTGACATGAGGATGAGATAAAGTACAAACTGTTGTACAATTATGGAATAGTAATAACAGAGTGCAGCGCTAAAAGATAAGTGCAAAAGGCAAATAGTCTGTAGTTGTTAACTGGATATAAATATATAGTCCAAGAAATAACTGATGAAGACCAGGAAGCAATGGAAAGAGTGCGCACTCACCGGACGCGCACGGAAAATGCGCGTAAACTAAAGTAGATGGAGAGGGTGAATTCCAATCTTTGGATCAATCAGCCTGGGAAGATGTATCAGAGATCCGGAGGTCCCCTTAAGGTTGGTATAATTATCAGCCAGATTCCAAGAGCTCCGTCCCTTTTACAGGAATCCTGCAAATGGATTTAGCTCCCATTTGCCCATAGTTGTATTTTAAAAAAGAGATTTATTGAATAAAAATGACAAGCAGGGTAGTAAGGCTGTGTACAGTACATATATGAAAGCAGAGTACGCAGCAATGATACTGACCCTGATTAAAATGGCCGCGGGGCTGTCTCGTGGCTCCGGGCAAAAGATGACGTTCTGCTCTGTCGGTTCCTTACCACCAGAGGGACGGAGCTCTTGGAATCTGGCTGATAATTATACCAACCTTAAGGGGACCTCCGGATCTCTGATACATCTTCCCAGGCTGATTGATCCAAAGATTGGAATTCACCTCTCCATCTACTTTAGGATTCCTGGAGACATTTATTTACGCGCATTTTCCGTGCGCGTCCGGTGAGTGCGCACTGCTTCCTGGTCTTCATCAGTTATTTCTTGGGACTATATATTTATATCCAGTGACTTGGACTTACAGCGCTGCACTCTGTTATTACATTCCGCTGGGTATGTGATAAAAAGAGCGCTCACTTTATAACATTCTTATCTGTTGTACAATTATGGAATTCATTTCATGTAATGGTGACACAATCAGAAACACCTTTTTAATATTTGATGGTTTTATGATGATATTTAACCACTTGACAACCGGACTATAGCCGAATGAAGACTGCATCGCGCTTGTCCAGTTCTGGGAGGGCATCGTATGACGTTCTCCAAGAACGCGCCCTCCCGCATGCCCTTAGCGGTGCGCACACGACGATCTCCATGATTGGACACAGTTGTTCACCTGATGTGATAAAAGGCCAATCACAGCAGCCTTTTACCACGTGATCAGCTGTGTCCAATAACACAGCAGATCACCGGGTAAATGCAGTTGCCGCCTCCTCTCTTTTCTCATTGACTCACTGACTGTGATTGACAGCCAAGGGCTCCCACTGCTGTCTCAGCCAATGATAAGAGGGAGTCCCAGAATAGCTGAGGATAGGATTATCAATTTTTTTTTTTTTTTTTTGTTAATGGTTGAACTGGATGGACTTTTGCCTTTTTTCAGCCAGACTAGCATGGAGAGACTATGCAAACTCCATGCAGATATTGTTCTGACTGGGACCAGTGCTGCAAAAAGTGCTTACCGCTAAGGCACTATTCTGCCTGAAACTGCACGTAATGTCAGCATGTCTCGTTTCAGGAAACAATATCTATGGAGACGAGATCAGAGAAGTCCTGGAAAAGGTTAGACACAGCAGTGAGCGCACCTCCTATATACTGATGGACAAGATCAAGCCTCAGCCGGTGAGGAATTGTCTGCTGAAGGCAAACGGCAAGTTTGAAATCTCCGAGTGTATCAGTGAGCTGGGCGTGTTTGGGGTCTATGTCAGGTAAGTGTCCCATCTCTGTGTGTTTAACTATAATGTATTTAGGAAGGTTTGGATTGTAATTCATTTCCTGTAGCTCATGTTACTCTCACTCCATAGGGGCGCCTTAGGAGAAGGGAAGGGCTAGGAGCGAGAAACCAATTTTTGTCATAATTTTGTACTATACCTCATATTTGGTATCTTTTTCACCAGCTACTGTATTTTTCGCTCTATAAGACGCACCTAGTTTTTAGAGGAGGAAAACAAGAAAAAAATATTCTGAACCAGAGGACTGCAGACATAGTATAGGACAGTGGTTCTCAACCTTTCTAATGCCGCGACCCCTTAATACAGTTCCTCATGTTGTGGTGACCCCCAACCATAAAATTATTTTCATTGCTACTTCATAACTGTAATTTTGCAGTGGGGAGTAGTGCCCCATCGTTGGTGTCAGTGGGGGGAGTAGTGCCCCATCGTTGGTGTCAGTGGGGGGAGTAGTGCCCCATCGTTGGTGTCAGTGGGGGGAGTAGTGCCCCATCGTTGGTAGTGTAGTGCCCCATCGTTGGTGTCAGTGGGGGGAGTAGTGCCCCATCGTTGGTGTCAGTGGGGGGGAGTAGTGCCCCATCGTTGGTGTCAGTGGGGGGAGTAGTGCCCCATCGTTGGTGTCAGTGGGGGGAGTAGTGCCCCATCGTTGGTGTCAGTGGGGGGAGTAGTGCCCCATCGTTGGTGTCAGTGGGGGGAGTAGTGCCCCATCGTTGGTGTCAGTGGGGGGAGTAGTGCCCCATCGTTGGTGTCAGTGGGGGGAGTAGTGCCCCATCGTTGGTGTCAGTGGGGGGAGTAGTGCCCCATCGTTGGTGTCAGTGGGGGGAGTAGTGCCCCATCGTTGGTGTCAGTGGGGGGAGTAGTGCCCCATCGTTGGTGTCAGTGGGGGGAGTAGTGCCCCATCGTTGGTGTCAGTGGGGGGAGTAGTGCCCCATCGTTGGTGTCAGTGGGGGGAGTAGTGCCCCATCGTTGTCAGTGGGGGGAGTAGTGCCCCATCGTTGGTGTCAGTGGGGGGAGTAGTGCCCCATCGTTGGTGTCAGTGGGGGGAGTAGTGCCCCATCGTTGGTGTCAGTGGGGGGAGTAGTGCCCCATCGTTGGTGTCAGTGGGGGGAGTAGTGCCCCATCGTTGGTGTCAGTGGGGGGAGTAGTGCCCCATCGTTGGTGTCAGTGGGGGGAGTAGTGCCCCATCGTTGGTGTCAGTGGGGGGAGTAGTGCCCCATCGTTGGTGTCAGTGGGGGGAGTAGTGCCCCATCGTTGGTGTCAGTGGGGGGAGTAGTGCCCCATCGTTGGTGTCAGTGGGGGGAGTAGTGCCCCATCGTTGGTGTCAGTGGGGGGAGTAGTGCCCCATCGTTGGTGTCAGTGGGGGGAGTAGTGCCCCATCGTTGGTGTCAGTGGGGGGAGTAGTGCCCCATCGTTGGTGTCAGTGGGGGGAGTAGTGCCCCATCGTTGGTGTCAGTGGGGGGAGTAGTGCCCCATCGTTGGTGTCAGTGGGGGGAGTAGTGCCCCATCACTGGTGTCAGTGGGGGGAGTAGTGCCCCATCACTGGTGTCAGTGGGAGGAATAGTGCCACATCATTGGTGTCAGTGGGAGGAATAGTGCCACATCATTGGTGTCAGTGGGAGGAATAGTGCCCCATCATTGATGTCAGTGTGGTGGAGGGGAGAAATAGTGCCCCATCATTGGGGTCAGTGGGGGGAGGAATACTGCCCCATCCTTGGTGTCAGTGGGGGGAGGAATACTGCCCCATCCTTGGTGTCAGTGGGGGGAGGAATACTGCCCCATCCTTGGTGTCAGTGGGGGGAGGAATACTGCCCCATCCTTGGTGTCAGTGGGGGGAGGAATACTGCCCCATCCTTGGTGTCAGTGGGGGGAGGAATACTGCCCCATCCTTGGTGTCAGTGGGGGGGGGGAATACTGCCCCATCCTTGGTGTCAGTGGGGGGAGGAATACTGCCCCATCCTTGGTGTCAGTGGGGGGAGGAATACTGCCCCATCCTTGGTGTCAGTGGGGGGAGGAATACTGCCCCATCCTTGGTGTCAGTGGGGGGAGGAATACTGCCCCATCCTTGGTGTCAGTGGGGGGAGGAATACTGCCCCATCCTTGGTGTCAGTGGGGGGAGGAATAGTACCCCATCGTTGGTGTCAGTGGGGGGAGGAATAGTGCCCCATCGTTGGTATTAGTGACACAAATGATGGGGCACTATTCCTCCCACTGACACCAATGATACTTACCTTGCTGACCCCTGCTCCAGCCTGGGCTCGCTCTCTCACTTACCTGTCAGCTGTCTTCCTTCTCTGGCCTCTCCTCTTCACTCGCTCCCTCGGTCTTCTTTGATGTACGCGCGCTGCCGCTTGGCTCCTCCTCTCCAAGCTCCACCTCCTCGCCGGTGATTGGCCGCCTGTGTGCCTCTCCTGAGCTACAGTTCCGGTGGCCAATCAGCGGCGAGGAGGCGGAGCTGCTGAGCGATCCCGGAGGTGTGGCCGGGTGACAGCAGCGTATCATCCCGCCCACACATCGCCGGAGACTGCAGCGGTGTCTCGGTTCCTAAGACCATCGGAAATATGTGTTTTCCGATGGTCTTAGGCGACCCCTGGGAAATGGTCGTTCGACCCCCAAAGGGGTCGCGACCCCCAGGTTGAGAACCGCTGGTATAGGAGATGACCAGAGACTGCGGACATAGTACAGGAGATGACCAGAGACTGAAGACATCGTACAGGAGATGACCAGAGACTGCAGACATAGTACAGATGACCAGAGACTGCGGACACAGTACAGGAGATGACCAGAGACTGCGGACATAGTACAGGAGATGACCAGAGACTGCGGACACAGTACAGGAGATGACCAGAGACTACGGACATAGTACAGGAGATGACCAGAGACTGAAGACATAGTACAGGAGATGACCAGAGACTGAAGACATAGTACAGGAGATGACCAGAGACTGAAGACATAGTACAGGAGATGACCAGAGACTGCGGACATAGTACAGGAGATGACCAGAGACTACGGACATAGTACAGGAGATGACCAGAGACTGAAGACATAGTACAGGAGATGACCAGAGACTGAAGACATAGTACAGGAGATGACCAGAGACTGAAGACATAGTACAGGAGATGACCAGAGACTGAAGACATAGTACAGGAGATGACCAGAGACTGCGGACATACTACAGGAGATGACCAGAGACTGCGGACATAGTACAGGAGATGACCAGAGACTGAAGACATAGTACAGGAGATGACCAGAGACTGAAGACACAGTACAGGAGATGACCGGAGACTGCAGACACGGTACAGGAGATGACCGGAGACTGCGGACACGGTACGGGGGATGACCTGAGACTGCGGACACGGTACGGGGGATGACCTGAGACTGCGGACACGGTACGGGGGATGACCAGAGACTGCGGACACGGTACGGGGGATGACCAGAGACTGCGGACACGGTACGGGGGATGACCAGAGACTGCGGACACGGTACGGGGGATGACCAGAGACTGCGGACACGGTACGTGGGATGACCAGAGACTGCGGACACGGTACGTGGGATGACCAGAGACTGCGGACACGGTACGGGGGATGACCAGAGACTGCGGACACGGTACGGGGGATGACCAGAGACTGCGGACACGGTACGGGGGATGACCAGAGACTGCGGACACGGTACGGGGGATGACCAGAGACTGCGGACACGGTACGGGGGATGACCAGAGACTGCGGACACGGTACGGGGGATGACCAGAGACTGCGGACACGGTACGGGGGATGACCAGAGACTGCGGACACGGTACGGGGGATGACCAGAGACTGCGGACACGGTACGGGGGATGACCAGAGACTGCGGACACGGTACGGGGGATGACCAGAGACTGCGGACACGGTACGGGGGATGACCAGAGACTGCGGACACGGTACGGGGGATGACCAGAGACTGCGGACACGGTACGGGGGATGACCAGAGACTGCGGACACGGTACGGGGGATGACCAGAGACTGCGGACACGGCACGGGGGATGACCAGAGACTGCGGACACGGCACGGGGGATGACCAGAGACTGCGGACACGGCACGGGGGATGACCAGAGACTGTGGACACGGTACAGGAGATGAGGAGGGGGGGCACCTGAACTTGACAGGTACCCACTCCCACTTCTACTGCAATCACCTAGGTGATTGGAAGCAGAAGCAGATCCCCCATCACGTGACAGGTCCCAGAAGACTACGGGGCCATTCACAAGGCGCAGCGTTTCTCGCGCATGCACAATGGGATGTCACAGCTGGGTGCCCACGCTGAAGATACCGGTGCCAGGGAGAGAGGATGGCCAGTCAAACCAGCAGTGATGAGGACACCGCTGGACCGAAGAACAGATAGGACCGAGGAGCAGGTTCTGCTGCACAGAAGAGCCGAGGGGCCGGCCCGGTATTCTAACACGGCGACGGGAGGAATACTGGGTGGGCCGCTCCATAAGAAGCACAGACATTTTTCCCATTTTGTGTCTTATGGAGCGAAAAATACAGCAAGTTAATGTTGTATTCGAACAATGATGACGTTGAATTTTGTTGGCTAAGCAATGAGAGACTTGTCTGTAGCTTGATTTTACACCCATCATAGGTTACCCTGTTCACCTTTTGTTTGTATTTGGTTCATTTGTAAAATAATAAAATTACCTCTTTAGAAAAAACACCAAAAGAAAGCTCTAGTTGTGTGAACTAAATGATAAAAAAGTAGTTTGGGTAGTGTTGCACGACCGCGCAATTGGCCTGGACCGGAAGGGGGTAAATGTGCCCGGCGTTGAAGTGGTTAAACATTGGAGAAATCCTATCTAATGTGTCATATTTGGATCCTTCGTTTCCCTGCTGTTTGTTTTTGACAATCGATCAGACTCCCAGACTGCAGCGAGGAATGGGACCTGTATCGGTAGTTTGCTTTCTAATGTATGAATGTCAACCTCTGTCATCCTAGGCAAGGTGGAGAGATGGTTCTCAATGAGCGAGTGGGTCACCTCCTCCGGACAAAAGCCACAGAGCATGCAGATGGCGGTGTAGCGGCCGGGGTAGCGGTCCTGGACAATCCGTATCTTGTGTAGGATGGAAATCCGAAACAACCACTCCGTGTGCCTGTTTCCTCCTGCTGGACATTGGAGGAATTACACCTCCACAGCCTTCCACTGGAGACCCATGACCCTTCGTTGCTGCTGTTCAACTGGACATTTCTACTGTATACTCCCACGGCTACATCCAGGTAGTTGTCATCCCAGAACTAAAGTCATTTCTAGTAATGGGCCTGTTACAGAGATGGCTTAAAGTTACTAAACCCCCCCCCCACAGTACAATCAGTCTGTAGATGCAGTAAAGCATCCTTGTTATACTCACTGTGGAACCTAAGGGGTTAATCCTCTGCATTGTGTAAAAGTGCTGTTTGATCCTGTCTTCTCAGATCCTCCCCTTCTTCCAGGGCACCCCTCTTATCTCCTGATAGGACATTTCGTGTGGAGTCACTCTGCACATGCTCAGTTAGGTGTGTATTGCTAGAGAGGTTTTTTTTTTTTTTTTTTTTTTTTTTCCTTGGGAGAGTGCATGTGATCAGCACAGGACCAGACAGAGGTCAGGGGTTCTGCATCCTCCTAGAGCAGAAAGAAAACCTCTCCTACAAGCTTTAACCAGTGCTCTGCTGGACACTGATAGAAGTCACAAGACTGCTATATACGACTGATGAGAAAAAAGGTATTTAGCAGTTTATATTTACTAAAATAATTGCATTTCTGTGTACTATGGGAGACCGGATATAGTGAATGCAGGGTCTGGGGAGAGCGGATATAGTGAATGCGGGGTCCGGGGAGACCGGGTATAGTGAATGCAGGGTCCGGGGAGACCAGATACAGTGAAGGCGGGTCCGGGGAGACCGGGCATAGCGAACGCGGGGTCCGGGGAGACCGGGCATAGCGAACGCGGGGTCCGGGGAGACCGGGCATAGCGAACGCGGGGTCCGGGGAGACCGGGCATAGCGAACGCGGGGTCCGGGGAGACCGGGCATAGCGAACGCGGGGTCCGGGGAGACCGGGCATAGCGAACGCGGGGTCCGGGGAGACCGGGCATAGCGAACGCGGGGTCCGGGGAGACCGGGTATAGCGAACGTGGGGTCCGGGGAGGGCGGATATGGATGTCAGTGTCATAGTTCACATCAATGCTTGCAGTTCCACTGTGTTCCGGTTGCAGGAAAAAAAAAAAAAAAAAAAAACCAGTAGAACAGGCTGCGTTTTTCCTGCACAGAACTGTACTGGACCGCGGCAAGACGCACTGGAACATACGTCCCCATTTAAATTGAAAAAAAAAGAGAGCTTTCTGCCTTCTTCACTTAAAGGACAAGCTCACCTTTTGGATAAAAATAATAAATGCACATTTTTTTGCAGGTAAAAAAAAAAGTGCATTTATTTTTGTCCGCAGGAGCCTGGAAAGCATTGCACTATCGATCAGTAGATTGCTGATGCCATGCAGGTCTCCTGCAGACCTGTCAGAATATCTGCTTGCCGTACAGGGGTGCGAGGCTCCATTCACATTTGTGCGACTTCAAAATTGTACGATTTTTTTTTTTTACCCTAGTGCGACTTAGGCGTAACTTTTGGTGAGCGCGATGTTGGCTTTGACCTAGGATAATTGTTTCTGCTGTACAAAGTCGCATGTACAACATTCAGGTGTGACTTTCATGCAACTCTGGAGGGTTTATATTGACATCTATGGCCATCAAGTCGCATGAAAGTCAGTAGTGCAGAAACTACTTTGAAGTTGCACAGATATGAATGGTATACCATGGGCAAACATGAGGGGGCACTTTGGACCCCAGAGTCACATGACAAATCGCATAAGTGTGAATGGAATCTAAAACATTGTGGATGTAATAAAAAATCTTGGATTGCACTGTACACCTGGGGATGGGAGGCTCAGCAGCAAAGGTCTTGTCTTTATTCATACTGGAGTATCCCTTAAAGCAAACCTTTCTCTTGTATGTTCCTAATGACTCATCTTACATTCCATAGCAATAGACAAGTATACTTGGATGTAGATAGTTCATATAATAGTCAGATTTGCTAACAGTACACCCCCCTCCCGTCACACCAATTTCACTTTGAAATTGTGCGACTTCACTGTAAGTCGCACAATTTCAAAGTCAGGTGACATGCCGATTTGAGGTGCGATTTGCAAGACCTCTGACACAGAAGTCTATGCAAATCGCACCAAAAGTAGTGTAGGTACTACTTTGGAAATTGGTGCGGCTCCGACTGAACCACACCGATATGCGATCTATTTTTTTATTTTTTCTTCTATGGTTGAACTTTTGTCTTTTTTCAGCCAGACTAACTATGACCGCTATAATTACAGACAATAGGGTGACATTTGGCATGTGATTTGCAAGTCATATGGCATGCAAAATGGACGCCAAGTCGCACACAGCGTGACCGGGGAATTAGGGTCATATTGATAAAGCACTTAATTCGACATTCACTGCAGGTGAATCTTCCTGCTGCGTGTTCTATAAATGACCGTGATTCAGTCATCTTCATGGCTTTTATAAATATGCCCCTTAGTTGTTAGTAGAACAGATATACTTTGTGGCCTCATTTCTAATTGTGGGGTTTTGCTGCGATTTGTCAGGCTAGATCATTTCATGGATCTTTGAGAAACTTTTTTTTTTTTTTTTTTTTTTTTTTTTTTTTGGTTTTTTCGATGGATTAGGACACGGGTGTCAAACTGGCGGCCCTCCAGCTGTTGCAAAACTACAAGTCCCATCATGCCTCTGCCTTTGGGAGTCATGCTTGTAACTGTCAATCTTGCAATGCCTCATGGGACTTGTAGTTTGGCAACAGCTGGAGGGCCGCCAGTTTGACACCCGTGGATCAGGATGTGTTGGGATGTCTGACAAGTTGGGGCTGAAACCTTCACCCCTGGCAGTGATCACAGGCTTGTCCCTCAGCCCAGGTCCACACTGATGCGGTGCGCAACTCTGCGTTTTCAGTGCGAATTCTGCGCCGCATCAGATTTGCACCCCGTTCATGCGAAACACTGCGGGTGTGTGTTAACACCCCGAAAGCGGTGCGATGTGCAGAATCGGATCACATAGGTGTGAATACCCATGCGATCTGATTCTAGCACGGACTCAAAAAAGGGTCCTTTGTGTTTTTTGGGCGGTGCGATTAAAGCCATACGAAATGTACAGCTCCGATCGCACCGCCCGCAAATCGCATCTGATTCGCACAGGAACCACACTCCTGTGAAAATCACATGCGATGTGCCGCACCACCTATATGTGAACCCAGGCTAAAGGTCCTGCAGTTGGCCACACATGGATTGAATCACCGCCGGATTAGTAGGGACCGGCTGAGATTCGATCCATCTATGGACAGGCTGATTGTACCCAAGTCGATCGATGAACCAGCCGTCACATTTTTAGCATTTGATTACTGCCAGCGGCTATAGCAGATTGCAGGATTTCATTGTATTCTGCCGGCCGGGAAAGCTCCTCGCTGCTGACAGAATACAGTCGTGCTGCAGGAGGCATTTCCCCATCAACGCTGACTGTGTTGATGGGGAAATCGAGCATTTTTTTATTTTTTGTCCTTCCACCCGTGGAGGAAAGAAAAAAATCAATTAATCTATGGCTTGCCTAATGCAGGCCATAGATGGGGAGAAAAAACTGCAGATTTTTCTTTTAAAAAACGAAAAATCGGTTGTTCAAGTGGCCGACGTTACCATCAATGGTAAAAAAAAAATCGGCCGATTTTCTACCCGTCTAGAGCCGGCAAAAAGTGTCCCTGCAGAGAGCTCTGCTATTTCTGACAGTTCTCTGACAGTTCCTTGACATTTATAGAAGTTGCAACAATGTATCTATTTGTTTCCATTTAGGATACAGATGTTTTTATTCGGAAACAAATAGATACAATGTTTCAACCGCTGTAAATGTCAAGGAACTGTCAGAAATAGCGGAGCTCTCTGCAGAGACACTTTATGCTGGACTGGAATTCTTCTTATTTTCATCCTACTTCATCTTCTTCTTCTTCATCCTCATCCTCTTCTTCTTCTTCCTCATCCTCTTCTTCTTCTTCTTCCTCATCCTCTTCTTCTTCATCCTCATCCTCTTCATCCTCTTCTTCTTCTTCATCCTCATCCTCTTCTTCATCCTCTTCTTCTTCTGCATCCTCATCCTATTCTTCTTCTTCATCCTCATCCTCTTCTTCATCATCATCATCCTCATCATCCTCTTCTTCTTCATCTTCATCCTCTTCTTCATCTTCATCATCCTCTTCTTCTTCCTCATCCTCTTCTTCTTCCTCTTCATCATCCTCATCCTCTTCTCTCCTCATCCTCATCCTCTTCTTCTTCCTCATCCTCTTCTTCTTCCTCATCCTCTTCCTCATCCTCTTCTTCTTCCTCATCCTCATTCCTCTTCCTCATCATCATCCTCTTCTTCATCCTCATCCTCTTCTTCTTCATCATCCTCATCCTCTTCTTCTTCATCATCCTCTTCTTCATCATCATCCTCTTCTTCATCATCCTCATCCTCTTCTTCATCATCCTCATCCTCTTCTTCTTCATCATCCTCTTCTTCTTCATCATCCTCATCCTCTTCTTCTTCATCATCCTCATCCTCTTCTTCTTCATCATCCTCATCCTCTTCTTCTTCATCATCCTCTTCTTCTTTTTCTTCTTTTTGTCTTCCTCTTGCAGGTCACTGCTCATGCGCAGATTTTTTTATCGGTAAAAAATCGGCCGATTTGCCCACTAATTGCCGCGAAATCGGCCGATCGGCAAAATCGGCCGATTTTTTTTCCAACTTTACCGAAAAAAAAGAAAACGGCCAAAATACCGAAAAACGGCCGACCAAATCGCCCACTAACGATCCGAAAATCGGCCGATTTTATTTTCGGCCGAAAAATCGGCCGATTTTCGACCCATCTATGGCCTGCATAAGGATATGGCATTATGAAAGCCTTGAGGGGTGACTGAAGACGCAGACAGCGGTGTAGGTTTTAGCCGCAGTATGTAACCACGGGGCAGGTCATGGGTATGTAAGCCATGGTGGATGGAGATG